AGGAAAATTCTCTGCTCCTCTGTTTTCTGTAGCACAAGAGAATGAAGAAAAAAGGAAGCAGTGAGGGATTTTTATAAACCCACTGTGCATTAGGAATTTCCTTCCCATTTCCAGAAGCCAGAAATACAGGGTTTCTCTGGTACTTCATATTTCTGCATCCTATGCCCACTTCTCTACTACTCCCTATTTCTGCACTCAATGTCCCACCTTTAGTCCAGGCTGAGGAATATGGGAGGAGAAATGAGAAACTCACCCCCATTTTGGTGGTATTTTGAAATCTAGCCCTCTCCAGTCTACCTGTTACCATTTACTTTTCAGAGCCCTCAAGTAGCTGCTTTGTGGTTTTATAGCTGTATTCTCTCCAGATTTTGTAGCTGCATAGAGTGGCAGAGACAGGGTTTCATCTTTCCCAGAACCTTGAAATAATTTCCAAAGAGAGGGAATTGGCAACTAACAAAGAGATGTTTTTGCTTTGGGGAAAAAAAAATAAAAGAAACAGGCAAATATTCCTAAGTTTTTTAAAGTCCATTATGCTCACATTAGAAACTGGAAATATCATGAGGGTAAATATGCATATGGTATTGGTATTAGTTTTCTTTTGATGCATAATAAATTACCACGAATGGTACTGGCTTACAGCAACACAAACGTATTACTCCGCAGTCCTGTAGGTGAGAAGTCCTAGTGGGTTCAGCTGGAGTCACTGCTCAGAATCTCACAAGGCTGAAATCAGGGTGTCAGCTGGGCTGGCTCTAATCGGAAAGCTCCAGGGAAGGATCCACTTTCAAGCTCATTCCATTTGTTTCTATAATCCAACTTCTTCTGTTTGTAGGACTGAGATCCCAAATTCCATGTCAGCTGTTGGCCAGGGTTTCCCTCATCTCTAGGGCTACCCATTCCTTCTACATAATCCGCACCATCCTCACAGTAGCAATGATATGTAGAGCCTTCTCCTCCAGATCTCTCTGACTTGCCCTTCTGCCAATGATATGTGGAGCCTTCTCCTCCAGATCTCTCTGACTTGCCCTTCTGCCTCCTTCGTGTGCCTTTTAAAGGACTCCTGTAATTAGATCAGTCCTTCTGGATAGGCTCTGTGTCCTAAATTCAACTGACCTGGGATATTTATCACAACTATAAATCCCTTTATTGCACAGCAGTATCTGGATTAGTGTTTGATTCAATAACCAGGTGACAGGAATCGTGGGGCGAAAAGTCATCTTGGAGTTCTGCCTGGCACAGAACCAGCTGAGAATGTTTCGGAGGGCTCCAGCATGATGTGACCAAACCTACTACCTCAGGTTGCGTTTCAGGCCCGGTGCTAAGTATCAAAGATGAAAAATGTGTGCTCACAGATCTTCTTAATTGGTGAGAGATATGCTTGTGCTGGGGCAGTTTTACAGATCAAGTTCTTAGAGAAAATGCTGAGCAATATCCTATAGATTAAGTGTTAGACAAAGAAAGGGTACATTCTAAAGGAGTAACATGAGCAAAGGCCTAATAGTGACTACATGGTTTGGTGGAAGTGGGTTCTATAAACTCCGTGATATTTCTGGAATTTTAAAGTATGAAGAGGACATGGCTGTATCTAAGGAAAAGTAGGTCTTTTTTTTTTTTCATTCTAAGGAGCTTGATCTTTTATTCCAAAGGGAAAGAAGAGCCATTAAAGAGGTTTATGCAGGAGTGAGCCAATCAGGATTGCATTAGACATAAATCATTTGGAAATACATGGGACGCTAGATTGACCGGAATCAGTCTAGACAGAGAAACCATTTAGGAGGCTTTATAATAGCTGAACAATATCAAAGGCTTGGAGGAAAGAAATGGCGAGTAACAGGAATGCTGAGAAAAGGGAATTGAATTCAAGTAATATTTTGGAAGTAAAATTGACAGAACTTAATCAGTGAGTGAATTTGGACCAGGAAAAGAGGGAATTAAATAAGTCTAAAGTCAGATTTCTATAACAACTGACTCCACAGAAATACAAAGGGTTGTAAGAAAATATTACGAACAACTATATGCCAACAAATTGGACAATTGGGACTAAATGGATAAATTCCAGGAAGCATGCAATCTTCCAAAACTGAATCAGGAAGAATCAGAGACTTTGAATAGACAAATTACAGCTAGTGAAATTGGACCAGTAATTAAAATAAACATAACAACTCCCAACAAACAAAAGTCCTGAACCAGATAGTTTCACAGGTTAATTTTACCAAACTTTCAGAGAACTAAGACCTATCCTTCTCAAAACATTCCAAAAAATTCAAGAGGAAGGAAGACTCCCAAGCTCATTTTATGAGGCCAACATTATTCGAATTCCAAAACCAGAAAACGAAATTACAAAGAAAGAAAATTATAGGCCAATATCCCTGATGAGCATAGATGCTAAAATCCTCAACTAAATATTAGCAAACCAGATCCAACAATGCATTAAAAACATCATAAATCATAATCAAGTGGGATTTATTCTGGGGATGCAAGGTTGGTACAACATCTGCAAATCAATATATGTGATACACCATGTAAACAAAATGAAGGATAAAAATCACATTATCATATCAGTAAGATGCAGAAAAAGCATTTGGTAAAATCCAGCACCCATTTATGATAAAAACTCTCAGCAAGGTGGGAATAGAGGGAACATATCTCAATGTAATAAAGGCCATATATGACAAACCCACAACCAACATTATACTCAATGGGCACAAAACTAAAAGCATTTCTGTTAAGATCAGGAACAAGACAGGGATGTCCTTTTTCACCACTCTTATTCAACATAGTCCTGGAAGTCCTAGCCGCAGCAATCAGACAAGAAGAAAACATGAAAAGCATCCAAACTGGAAAGTCATTATTTGCAGATCAATTGACACCAAAAGCCCACACAAAATAATAGGTATATTTATTTCACAAAAATTAAAATTGTGCTGCAAATGATACCATCAAAATAACTGCAAAGACAATCCACAGAACTAGAGAAAATATTTGCAAATCCTATATCTGATAGGGACTTGTATCCAGGATTATAAAAACCTCAGACAATTCAATAATAAAAAGACCAATGACTTAATTTAAGAATGTGCAAAGGATGTGAATAGACATTTTTCCAAGAATATATGCAAATGGCCACTAAGCACTTGAGTAAATGTTCAACATCATTACTCATTAGGAAATACAACTGGAAATCACAATGGAATGCCACTTCATACCAGCTAGGATGGCCGTAATCAAATATGACCTAGAGTTCCACTCCTAGGAAGATATCCGATGGAAATGAAAAAGTCCACAAAAAAGTTGCACATGAGTGTTCATAGCAGTCAAAAAGTAGAAACAACCCACATGTCTATCAGCTGATGATGGATAAACAAAATGTGGTGTCCCCGTTTGATGAAGTCTTACTCAGCCACAAAAAGGAGTGAAGTACTGATGATACATGTTTCAATAGGAATGGGCCTTGAAAGCATATCCGAAAGAGACCAGACATAGAGGGCCAGAGACTGTATGATTCCATTTGTGTGAAATGTCCAGAGCAGGCAACTGTGTAGAGACGGAAATTCAAGTAGTGGTTGCTGGGGCTGGAGGCAGGGAATGGAGGGGAGTGACTGCTACATGGTATGAGATTTCGTGTGTATGTGGTGGTGATTACGTTCGGGAATTATATGGTGGTGATTCTTGTGCAGCCTTGTGAGTATACTAAAAATCATTGAATTGTATACTTTAAGAAGGTCAATTGTACGGTATGTCAGTTATATGTCAACAAAATGTTTTTTAAAGGGTAATTCCTTTAAGTTCGGATATTTTTTCCTGTTTAAAAAATATGGGAGCAGGGAACTTTTTAATATTGCAGTCAGGTGACTCAGAGGTCTAGTGAAAAGCTGGAGTCTCAGAGTTTTGCTAGCCCTGATTAAAGAAACCCAAGAGAAGGCAAACTTGCAAGGGGCAGTGCCCTGAGAGAGCCTGGGGAGCCAGGAGGAAACCCATGGGTGCTGATGCCCGAGAAAGGTGAGAGGAGGTCCTCCTTATGAAGAGAGATGTAGATAATGAAATTATTAATAAGGACTATTAACTTTTTAGCTGCTTAATTACTTTGCTCTTCCTAGCTTCATCTGGGATTATGTCTTGTATTATATCTTCAGGCTCCAATGAAAAGAACACTTGTTAGATTCAGTTAAACTCAAATATTGGTTGAACAGATACATAGGTGAGACACACTATGCTAGTCCTTGGACATAAAGGTGTATGACATACTCTGCCTTCACGATGCTTATGGTCTTATGTCTTATTGATAATGAAAACATAAAGACACTGAAATAAGGCAAACACAGAAATAATAGGACTATTAGTTTTAATGTCTGGCAGCTAAGTGGCAGATAAGGACAACTTCTGGTATATGATACAAGTAAAATGGACTGTAGGTTTTAAGAAATCTCAGTCTACCCATGATGAGGTATTTGAAATGTTATCAACGCAAAATATATGGGGAAAGATGTAGGGAGTCTTCTGGTTTGCAGCAGGCCACAAGGAGAAGCAAACATTTTCTGCATATACTTGATAAGAGAGTGGTAGGGAGGCTACTTCACTTAGTCAGTCGGACATATATTGTTGATACCAGTATTTATGTCAAACTTTGTGCTGGATACTAGGGGGAGTCCTTTTGCCTTGGAAGAAGGGATGCCAGTCGTAGTACCAAACTGGAAAGGCTGCTTCATTTAGCCTCGGTTGAGAGGGCAAAGTAGATGTGTGGCCTTGATTCTGTCAGGAGCAGGGAGTCACATGGATTAGGCAGGAACGTGGGCATGGAAGTAGCCCAGGGAGAGTGTTCTTCAAGTAACTACACAGAAAGAATAGTTAGGTGATTAGTACAAGGATGACAACATCTGGCATTCTAATGAGTCCACAATACAGATGTTGGGAACTTCAATAGGAACTTGACGGGAAGTAAAGGCTTATATTCAGTAAGAGAGCTTCAGTAATTTTTTTTTTTATCTTTTTCAATTCTATAGCTGACATCAACTTGGATATATCAAAGCCTTTGAAAGCAAACCTGAGTTTTACCAAGCTGGATCAGATCAACCATTTTTTAAAGAAGATCAGAAGTGCACACGGCAATGAGACTTCGGCGCCGTCGGACACCGTGCGGCTTAAGGATGAGCTTCCAGCCTCCAAATGTTACCGTGGGAAGTTGTCTAAATCCAAAGTTCATGGTGATGCAGCACGAAAGGTTCCATTTCGGGAAAACATGTGGAGAGCTGTTTCCTGCTTTCAAAAAATTTCTGTCCATACTACTCAGATTGTGGTCGCCATGGAGACTGTCCCCCATCCTAACAAGCCTTGCCTGTTAGCATCTTTGTCGACCCTCAGTGGAAGCCTGAATGTTAAAGCGGCACAAAAAGTACCTGGTAAGTCACAGGAGAGGGGAGAGGGAGATGACAGTGTGACTTGGTACCATCAGGAAATGCATAATGGTGATAATTTATATTATTTGGAGGTTAAAAGTTTTAAGGGCCATCAGAGATGGGATATTTCTGGTTTGTGACCTTATTGTAGAGAAACTTTTATAACAAATCCGTTAAGCGTTTAAGTATTTTAATGTGCTAAACTAAACTGTTCCTTTCCACCTCTTCGGACATGTTCCTGCAAATGTCTTTAAAGATGTTCATTCCTAAATTTCTGTTCCCTAAAACAGCAGCAGTGGAACAAGGAGAAATGGTTTTACCAGCCGTTAGAGTAGCGGTTGTCAGGGTATGGTCGCAGAACCAGCCGCAGCAGCAGCAGCAGCAGCAGTAGCATCAGCTGAGAACTTGTTAGAAATGCAAATTCTTGAACCCTACTGCTGACCTGCTGAATCACAAACTCTGGGCATGGAGCCCAGAAGTCTGTGTTGCAAAAGTCATACAGGTGATTCCGGTGCACTGCATTAAGTCCCTGGTAACAGTTTATTTAAAAAAGAGAGATTGCTCTAGTGGCAGGGATGCTACCCAAAGTGTACTAGAAGTCAGGGTTCAGTTCTGCAAGGACAGGGCCATTGCGGATTGCCAGGCAGCAGCCCCCGGCAAGGAAAAGCCGTGCATGCTGCCCAGCCTAGCAAAGACAGGGAGGTATGGGCCCTGCAACCGGGTGTCCTGGATGGGTGGTGGAGAGGTGAGAAGTTAACAGGCAGTGACATCTACATTTTCCTCTTTTGTTACCGTGACTAAATTGTTACGTGCTTCTTCACCCTGAGTCAGAAAGGGTAGGCAGTAGGAATGCGCGGAGGGAAGGAAAGGACAAGGCACAGGTGGGAAATAACAGCTTTCAATCACTGGAGCTGCTACTGTGAGAGTTCAGGGCTCCGTGCCAGAAATTTTACTTTGAAAGTAAAAGTAGCAAAAGGGAAACATTTTTTCTCACTTTAATTTGCAGGAAAGAATTGGGGGGTAGGGGGCAAAGTAAATCCTGAAACTATATGCAATGTAGTGGCTTACCAAAAGAAGTAATTAAGTGGCAGCCGGAGACTAACTATAACTTAGTTCCATATAGCAGTTTGGGCACAGTAGTTTAAGAGATAAAGAAAAAGTTTTATAGTCGGGAAGTATGAATTTTAGGCCAAAAAATAGATGATTTATTTCTTTCTCACCAGAAATATTTGTGACCAAGCCAGCTGAAAGCACTGTATTTTTTTTTATTGTCTTAAAAGTTTGAAGTGAAATGTAAAGTCCATGGGGCATGAAAGATTATGAAACACTGGGCTACAATATCTGATTTATCCACAAATACATTGCAACCCAGACAACACTGGACCGGTTCCCACACCTTTCCAGTTCTACCTAATCATATAGCAGGGAAAGGCTAGGACTCAACCCGAGTGAGAGTTTAAATGTACTGTGCTCAGTTCTACATCCTTTTCTTTTTTCAGCCTCATTTCTTGTTTTGTTTTTTAGCTACTCATATTTTATCCACGTTTAACCATTTGTATGCCATAAGCGTCTATAGATGCAAGCGGCAGACCTTTTTTAATTAAATTCAAAATAGCGTGGCAGTTAACTGGTTAATGTGTCTATTCTTGTAAACATCTCCAACATGTCATGAAAATCCTCTCACTGAGCTAGACAAGGTCATAGACTCATTCTGTATTTGTATTTGTTTTTTCCACTCAATCCTAGAAAAACGGCGTACCCTGTTTCTTTTATATTTATGCTTTTTAATCTAGTCAAACACAGAAGTAGCAACTATAGCTTTGACTAAGACATAAATCATACAACTCTAATTGTGGTATCCAGCAAATGTTCTAAAATAGTTATTTATGTCAGCAAACTAAAACAGTTCGAAGTTAGCCATTAAACTGAACAGTTTTATTATGAGAGCATAACGAATACCAAATCGGGTTTCTGTGCGTTTCTGCTGAATGGAATGACATGCTCAAACATTTTAAGAAGATAAAGTCAGCAAAATAATAATAAATTATAATTAAGTAAAATAAGATTAAGTTCTAGTTTCTGCTGAAGACTAATTTCTAGGAAATTATAATTGAGAGATTACTACATGTTTTTCAAAAAGTGATTCTTAACTAAGCAAAACTTTTTAAAGTAAAATATAATTTAAGCTTTAAGCGTTAATTTTATTGTGTAGTTGAATATCTTAAAAATCCATGCTTTGGAACTTGGATAAAACACATGTAATTCTTTATTTGAGGTATATTTTTGATAATAGTTAAAAGTGATACCCACCAAAAAGAAAAAAATCTCCTATCAGTAGTCATATTTCATATTTTTCAAGTGACATCGTTATGCATTTGACCAAAATTTTTATAATATATCTTTGAGCTCAACAGAGTTAATGTCAAATTTTTATAGTTTGAATCTAATACAGAAATACTTAACTGTGTCTTTGATTTTATAGTTTATATAACTATTGTGACCATCTGCAGCAGCTGCACTTTTCAAATTATTTGCTGAACCAAATTGAGCACAGTGACAAAAGTAGTCATCTCAGATGTACTATTAAACAGAGAAAGAAAAAGGAACAGTGCCTTGGTACAGTATAACCATCTGCTGTACAGATGTTATTGTATAGAATGACTTAAGATAAAATAATTGTAGAAAATTTTCATTAAAACCTCAGCAATTTGCACTTGTTTATGCGAATCTGCATAACTCCCCAATGAGACAACACACTTGGGGTTTCTTTGGTTCTCACTCACTTTCTCTTTGATCCTTTTTGATGTGCTGACTTTAATAAACACAGTCAAAAACACTGTGCAAAAACATCATGGAAAAAACTACAAAGGAATAATTATAGCAGCAGAAACTACTCTAATCCCTAACTTACGCAAGCTATTTTTAGTGAAATATTTTTTTTAACACTCTTTATGTGACAATGTTATATAAACAGGGTAAAACGGTCCTTTCCAGATGAGTTTTAATTTAGGAGCTGAAATAGATGTGTAATGCTAGAGGAATCTTACGTTCTAAGGAATATTTAGAGAAACACAATTGAGAATGTGTTGTAGGCATGTTTCCTCACTTCTGAAAGGTACAAAAATACTTCAGTTTGCCTAGTTGTATTTTTTATCATTTAACTGTCATAAATTTAGGGGAAGTGCATAGGAAAAGGGAATAATAAAAAAGTAAAGGGGGAAAGTTAGTTTTCTTCCCAAGACATTGTCAGTACATTTAAATCTGAAATGTTTTTATATTCATTTACTGGTTTTTACAACGAAAGATGTACTGATTACTCACTGAAATGTGTTCATTGTTTGAAACAAAATGAAATGGTTAAATATTTTCCACTTTAAAAAAATCTAGGAGTTTTCCTTAGTTTCCTGTACTGTTCTGCAATCCTCAACTATGAGAGTTTCAAGGGACTTGATTTTTTTAAATTCCACCTGCAGATGCTAGTGTAACAGTGACTTATAATAACTTGTATTTCTGCTAGAATACTTACGTTCTTCCATATGTCTTTGGGAAAGGGGCCGTAAAGTTGATTTTAGTAGACATAATACTTGTATTTTAAAAGTTGGTGTATAATATCACAGAAAATACCTACGACTGTATTATCAATAACAAAATGAATCTCACTTAGAAATTATATCTTATTTTCGGAATCGTGTTAAGGCAGATAATATTTCTTCTGCTCTCCATGAAATCCATCCCATTCTGTAGTATGTTTTTTTAAAAAACAGCCACCTTTCCCCCCACGCGTACACACACAACACAGTCTTTTTTGCCGTTTGAAGCGTGTCTTTTTTGAGAAGCCATGAGTATGTAGCTATAAATCCTGGATAGCAGTGTAGCACTTTCCACAGGCAGGGAGGGAAGGAGCTGCAGACTTCTGCTCCCCTTGTCAGAGTAAATTACGGCTCTATTAGGGCGGCACTCCTTAGATTTCAGCAACAAGGGCGCACAATCCAGGCTGTGAAATAGCCTTACTGTGGGCTTCCTTGCTCTTTCACGGGGGCACTTAGATTAGCAATCTCCATGTAAAGTAAGGAAAAGGGAAATAGGGAATGAACAAAGGGTTAGGGGAGGAGCCTAAGTGAGGCCATCTTGTTTGGCATTTTAGTCAGAAATGGGAAGAGCTGCAAGCATCCCTTTCCAAAGGGACTTTTCATCCACGCAGAAAGCCATGAGTTGAACTCCTAGTCAGAGAGCTATGGTTTAAACAACTTTCGCTGCCCCTGCCTCTGTCATCCAGATGTACTTATCTCTGTGTATAAACAAAAACGGGGAAAAGCATAACCATATTATTTTTCACATATACAAATGCCTCCTCTCATGTTCACTGAATTCAGGACCAATAAAATATAAAGAACCTAAAGTTCCTTTTCATGTCCTGAAAAGTGAAACCGGGCCATTAATTGCGGAAAGTGGAGCTCCAGCTTTTCATTCCAGTTAGCTGGATCTCCAGAGGACACGCTCTCAAGGCGTTGTCAGCACCAGTGGATGCTCCGGAGATGTCGGGAAGCCGAGGGGAAGTAAAGCATCCAATTAGATATGACTGCCTCAGAGAATCCGCTCCATAACAAGCCATTTACAACACCCCAAAGACTTTTGTCACTTTTACAAAGAAATGGTGCTTCTTCCCAATGCCTGAACCATAAGAAATGAATTCTTTGACAGGCAGAGCCAGAGGACAGATCTGACCTGAAGCAGCCACTGAGGGTTGAAGTGGAAGCACAGCTGGTCAGCAGCCAGATGGGCCGCTCACCGACCTGAGTGAATATTGGGTGTGGGCACCAGGGTCTTGTCATTTCTGACACTGTCCCAAGTAGCTTAAACCCAACCCTGGAGGGAAGGTGGAGACCTCATTGGGTGTATAACATCTGGGATTTTATTTGTCATTTTGGCAAACTTCACAAGCGCAAAAGAAAGAGTAAAAGGGGATTATCTTGACAATGAAATGAGTTACTGAATCTTGTGAT